AATATTTGTCCAGGGAGTTGGAGATTCTGACCAGAAGTTTGGTTTGGTCCAGACTCTGTCGGGGTTGAAAAGGGTGATTTGTCGTCTGTCGATGTTTATGACCAATTTCTGGTCAAATGGTCTTGGGTCGTCTGCCGTTAGAGTGGAGAAATAACCGGGATCAATACCCTTTACGTGCTTTCTGGCTCCGTCCGTCATGTTGAATTAGTGTTTCTTGCCGCCGACCAAAATAATTCCCAGCAGCAACGCGCGCTTTTGTCAACAATGAAACTCGCCTATAAACCCCAAAAATAACAATAAGTTCAAATATTTGTGCAGAGAAACACAAATCTATTACAGAAATCTTTTTTAATTGATGAACTCTTTCTTATTATAATATTATAATATTATGAACAACCTGAAACTTTAAGAAAAATACAATTTCAACACAAAGTTTGAACATGAACTTGTCTGTAAACAGGAATAAGTCCATTTTTGTTGTAAAATCCTGCACTCGGCTCCACTTTTCTCATGTTGGACATTTTTCTGATGAGGGTGTCACGGTCAACAGTCAAAACGATCGTCCTTTAAGAGCGTTTGGAAAGAGACAAGTCTTCATTTGTGCTGCTCTGGTGGGAGGGGCCACGTACAGAGACGCTGGAGACGCTGCTGTGATAAACACCACACAAAATTAACACCATTTTAATAGAAAATATCATTTAAATATTTTAGTAGAAAATCAGACGAGGGCCAGATTAAAGACTGACTCTGCTCTACACCTCATGGAGGTAAGAGCGTCTGTCGCCTGATCGAGCTTTGCGTCGTCCTTTGTTTTTCGGGTTCGAGCGCAGGAGTCTTTGTCGGTGCAGAAAGTTTTGTCGACATTGTGGGTTTTGTCGGGGAGAAAACGTACAAACATACAACACTTCAGAATCACACTGATACAGATCCAACATTTATTTAAATTTGACAGCTGAACACATTCTGTACTGTACAGGAGGCAGGAGTCTCTCAGCCAATCAGGACGCAGCGGGAGGATCATGTGTTCATACACTGTAAAAACAAAAGGCATCAAAACTGCACTACAAAAATCCACCAAACAGTGAGACGGCGAAAAGTGAAAGAGCGAGAGACGACTGTAAACCAGGTCTAAACCAGAAGTAAACCAGGTCTAAACCAGAAGTAAACCAGGTCTAAACCAGAACTAACCCAGGTCTAACCCAGGTCTAAACCAGGTCTAAACCAGAACTAACCCAGGTCTAAACCAGAACTAACCCAGGTCTAAACCAGGTCTAAACCAGGTCTAAACCAGAACTAACCCAGGTCTAAACCAGGTCTAAACCAGGTCTAAACCAGAACTAACCCAGGTCTAAACCAGGTCTAAACCAGAACTAACCCAGGTCTAAACCAGAACTAACCCAGGTCTAAACCAGGTCTAAACCAGGTCTAAACCAGGTCTAAACCAGGTCTAAACCAGGTCTAAACCAGAACTAACCCAGGTCTAAACCAGAACTAACCCAGGTCTAAACCAGGTCTAAACAGTGTACAGTTCTCGGTCCTTTCGCCCGCGGTCACCTGAAGATCTACGTGGTTGTGTCTCTGGAGTTTCACCGCTGCTGATATCGAGGTGATTTTAGTGAATTTCTTTGAAGAAAAACCACCACTTCAATCCAGGTTAAAAAAGCTTTGTGACGCGCGTCACTCACATTTGTACCGAGTAAAATATTACAGTTTTTTTCCCTGTTATGCCACATTACTGCGTTACAGCAAAAGCAGTGCATTACAGTCATTTGTTACTTTTATAAGGCGTTACTCCCCACACTGGTCACGACCAAACAGCAGCGATTGGTTAAATAAAAAAGACTCGTCTACTGTCGAGCGAATGGATCCTAATGCTGCGAGGTCAGACAGTTTCTACAAAGTGAAACCGGTCGATGAATCAGGGCAGAAGACGATGACCTGGACGAAGCAAATGATGAAGATGAAGAGAACAACACTCAACTGTAATAATATAATGTTCTTTATCTTAATAGAATCTCTCTTATATTTTATTTATAAACATGAAACACCATCATCATTTTCAGAAAACAGTTTAATCAATCATGACTCACGATCTCATTATGATCAATTACTAATCACTATTAACTAAACACAGGCTTTTCTTTTTAACATCACCTTTTATTTTGATACGATCATAAACAATAAACTTTTGTGCCTTTGGTGTCATGATTATGAGTTTGTACGACCGTAACGAAACACAAAAATCCTCAAATTTTACATCCTCATTGTTGTTTATTTTTGTACAATCCATAAATGATAAACTTTGTGCCTTTAGAAAAAAAAAATGATGAGACCTTTTAATCAAAAATATGATTTAATGGAGAGAATGATTCAAATATTTTAGTTTATATCATAACATATTTGCCAGAAGAGTAAAACCAGAGAACATTTGTGCGTTTGTTTTATTTATTTGACAGAAAATGCAAAGAAACATTTGGTAGAAAATCAAACTAAATTGATTTGTGCAATTGGAATTATTATATTATTATGATTATTTAAAAGTCCCTGAGAACAGATTCTAAAGCGAAACATGAAAAACACCGAACTCAGACGTGGAGCAAAGGTTTTTCTCTGATGATGCAAAAAAACCCAAAACAAAAACAAAAAAAACCCAAACCAAAACCACACAATGTCTGAGTCTGAGTTTAAAAGATCACACCACGACGAAGACGAGAAAGTCAAGAAGAGTCAAGAAGAGTCAGCTCAAAATGTGTCAAACCAGAAGAACAGAGACCAGAACTAGACCAGGACTAGACCAGGACTAGACCAGGACTAGACCAGGACTAGACCAGGACTAGACCAGGACGAGACCAGGACGAGACCAGAACCAGGTAGAGGTTATTCAGATCAGAGGACGTCATTTTAGGGTTAAACCAAGTGGAAACCAGGTCTAAACCAGGTCTAAACCAGGTCTAAACCAGGTCTAAACCAGGTCTAAACCAGGTCTAAACCAGGACTAAACCAGGTCTAAACCAGGTCTAAACCAGGACTAAACCAGGTCTAAACCAGGTCTAAACCAGGTCTAAACCAGGTCTAAACCAGGACTAAACCAGGTCTAAACCAGGTCTAAACCAGGACTAAACCAGGACTAAAACCAGGTCTAAACCAGGTCTAAACCAGGTCTAAACCAGGTCTAAACCAGGACTAAACCAGGACTAAACCAGGACTAAACCAACTAAACCAGGTCTAAACCAAGTGTCTAAACCAGGTCTAAACCAGGTCTAAACCAGGACTAAACCAGGTCTAAACCGGTCTAAACCAGAGGTCTAAACCAGGACTAAACCAGGACTAAACCAGGTCTAAACCAACTAAACCAGGTCTAAACCAGGTCTAAACCAGGTCTAAACCTAAACCAGGACTAAACCAGGTCTAAACCAGGACTAAACCAGGACTAAACCAGGACTAAACCAGGACTAAACCAGGACTAAACCAGGACTAAACCAGGTCTAAACCAGGACTAAACACTAAACCAGGACTAAACAGGTCTAAACCAGGTCTAAACCAGGTCTAAACCAGGTCTAAACCAGGACCTAAACCAGGATCTAAACCAGGACTAAACCAGGACTAAACCAGGAAACCAGGACTAAACCAGGACTAAACCAGGTCTAAACCAGGTCTAAACCAGGACTAAACCAGGACTAAACCAGGTCTAAACCAGGTCTAAACCAGGACTAAACCAGGACTAAACCAGGACTAAACCAGGTCTGTCTGTTCTGTGTTCTGAGCTTTAAAACATGTACAGCTTTTGTGCAGTGAATCAGTTTAATTGAGGCGACGCAACGTGAACTTGATCAGTCCAAAAAAATAATAATAATAATCTGTGAAAAAAAGGAAAAATTTGTGAAAAAAAACCCCCAAAAAATAAAATTCAGTGGGAATAAAACCAGAAAAATCTGTGAGAAAAAAAATCTAAAAAAAAAAGTGGAAAAAACTAAAAAACTTGTGAAAAAAAATAAAATAAATCAGCCCAAAAAAAAAAAAAACTAAACTAAAAATCTATGGAAAAAATAAATAAATTAATTAATTAAATCACTGGGAAAAAATAAAAAAATCAATGGAAAAAAACCTTAAAATTCAGTGAAAGAAAATCTGTGGAAAAAAAAAAAAAAAAAAAAAAAAAAAATTAAAAACTAAAAATTTGTGAAATGAAACAGTCTTTTTGCTGCTCATTAACACAAACATATAGACTTTCCTCGTTCTGTTTTTATAAGTTCATCTGTAAAAGTGCCACAACAGTCACACCACAGAAAGTGACGAAGAGTCAGCGGAAAAATGTGTCAAACGAAAAGAACAAAGACCAAGACTGAACCAGGACTGAACCAGGACTAAACCAGGACTAAACCAGGACTAAACCAGGACTGAACCAGGACTAAACCAGGACTAAAACAGGACTAAACCAGGACTGAACCAGGACTAAACCAGGACTAAAACAGGACTAAACCAGGACTGAACCAGGACTAAACCAGGACTGAACCAGGACTAAACCAGGAACCAGGACTAAACAGGACTAAAACAGGACTAAACCAGGACTGAACCAGGACTAAACCAGGACTGAACCAGGACTAAACCAGGACTGAACCAGGACTGAACCAGGACTAAACCAGGACCAGGACAGGACTGAAACAGGACTGAAACAGGACTGAAACAGGACTAAACCAGGACTGAACCAGGACTAAACCAGGACTGAACCAGGACTAGACCAGGACGAAACCAGGACTAGACCAGGACTGAACCAGGACTAAAACAGGACTGAACCAGGACTAAAACCAGGACTGAACCAGGACTAGACCAGGACGAAACCAGGACTAGACCAGAACTGAACCAGGACTAAAACAGGACTGAAACAGGACTAAACCAGAACTGAACCAGGACTAAAACAGGACTGAAACAGGACTGAAACAGGACTAAACCAGGACTAAACCAGGACTGAAACAGGACTAAACCAGGACTAAACCAGGACTGAAACAGGACTAAACCAGGACTAGAGCAGGAGTGAGTTGGTTCAGGTCTTGTGTCATTTTGTGTAGTGGGCGAACGGAGATTCTTCATTCACTGGACCCTAAAACAGAGAGAGAAAGAGAGAGAGATGGAAAGAGATGGAGAGGTGGAAGGGGGTGGGGGGAGAGAGAAAGAGGGAGAGAGAAAGAGAGAAGGGGAAGGTGAGGGGTGACAGAGGGAGAGGTGGAGGGGGGAGGAAGAGAGCGAAAGGGGAGGATAAAGAAAGAGACAAAGGAAGGGAGAGAGAGAGGAGAGAGAGAGGAAGGAGAAGTGGACAAAAAGGAGAGAGAAGAAAGAGAGAAAGAGAAGAGAGAGAAGGGAGAGGAGAGAGAGGAGAGAGTGAGGAAAAGGGAGAAGGGGAGAAAAAGAGGAAAAAAGAGAAGGGAGAGAGGAGAGAGACAGAGAAGAGAGAGAGAAAAGAGAGAGGAGAGAGAAGAGAGAGAGGAAAAAAGAGAAGGGAGGGAGAGAGAGGGGGATACATAGAAGGGGGGAGAGAGAAAGAGGAAAAGGGGGGATAGAGAAAGAAAGAAGGGGAAGAGAGAGAGGAGAGAGAGACAGAGGAGGGAGGAGAGAGAGGAAAAGAGAGTGAAAAGGGAAGTAGAGAAAAAGAAAAGAGGTAGAGAGAGAGAGGAGGAAGAGAGGGCGGAGGGAAGGAGAAAGAGAAGAGAGAGAGAGACAAAGAGTGAGATGAATGAACATTAAAACATGGTTGAAAGTAAAAAAAATAATAAAATAAAATGACATAAAACTGTTGAAAAATGAAAGACACATTTTTAAATTAATAAAATAAATCTGTAATTTTTTTTCTGACAAATATCTGAACTATTTATTCCCAGTTTTCCCGGTTTTCCCGGTTTTCCCGGTGTTGTCCTCCGTGACTCCGTCTGTGTTTGTGACTCGTGTTTTGATTCTGTTAAATCGCTGATTCACACAGACGTTATCGCTCTCTTTTCCACAGACGCGGCGAGTTCGTGCGAGAAACAGATGAGAAACACATGAGGGGGCGGAGCCAAGAGTTTCACAAGAGTCAGGGTCTAAACCAGAACTAAACCAGGACTGAACCAGGTCTAAACCAGAACTAAACCAGGTCTAAACCAGGACTAAACCAGGACTAAACCAGGTCTAAAACAGAACTAAACCAGGTCTAAACCAGAACTAAACCAGGTCTAAACCAGGTCTAAACCAGAACTAAACCAGGACTAAACCAGGTCTAAACCAGGACTAAACCAGGTCTAAACCAGGACTAAACCAGGACTAAACCAGGAACTAAAACCAGGACTAAAACAGGACTAAACAGGACTGAACCAGGACTAAACCAGGTCTAAAACAGGACTAACACCAGGACTAAACCAGGACTAAACCAGGACTAAACCAGGACTAAACCAGGACTAAACCAGGAACTAAACCAGGTCTAAAACAGGACTGAACAAGGACTAAACCAGAACTAAACCAGGACTGAACCAAGGACTAAAACCAGAACTAAACAAGGTCTAAAACAGGACTGAACCAGGTCTAAACCAGGTCTAAACCAGGACTAAACCAGGACTAAACCAGGTCTAAACCAGGTCTAAACCAGGACTAAACCAGGACTAAACCAGGTCTAAACCAGGACTGAACCAGGACTAAACCAGGTCTAAAACCAGGTCTAAACCAGGACTAAACCAGGACTAAACCAGGACTAAACCAGGACTAAACCAGGACTAAACAGGACTAAACCAGAACTAAACCAGGTCTAAACCAGGACTAAACCAGGTCTAAACCAGGTCTAAACCAGGACTAAACCAGGACTAAACCAGGACTAAACCAGGACTAAACCAGGTCTAAACCAGGACTAAACAAGGACTAAACCAGAACTAAACCAGGTCTAAAACAGGACTGAACCAGGTCTAAACCAGGTCTAAACCAGGTCTAAACCAGGACTAAACCAGGACTAAACCAGGTCTAAACCAGGACTGAACCAGGACTAAACCAGGACTAAACCAGGTCTAAACCAGGACTGAACCAGGAGGACTAAACCAGGACTAAACCAGGACTAAACCAGGACTAAACCAGATCTAAATCAGGACTAAACCAGGACTAAACCAGGACTAAATCAGGTCTAAACCAGGACTAAACCAGGACTAAACCAGGACTAAACCACTAAACCAGGTCTAAACCAGGTCTAAACCAGGACTAACTTTGACAGGAGTCTGGCCAGCTCGGGAAGAGTTTTGTTTTGTTTTGACCAGGAACAACCAGGTCCCTAACCCCCTCTGGTCACAAAGTGAACTGAACCCTGAGTAAACCAGGTCTAAACCAGGACTTTTAAACCAGGACTAAACCAGGACTAAACCAGGAACCAGGACTAAAACCAGGACTAAACCAGGACTAAACCAGGACTAAACCAGGTCTAAACCAGGTCTAAACCAGGACTAAACCAGGACTAAACCAGGTCTAAACCAGGACTAAACCAGGACTAAACCAGGTCTAAACCAGGTCTAAATGAGGACTAACTTTGACAGGAGTTTGGCCACAGCTCGGGGAAGAGTTTTGTTTCGTTTTGACAGGAACACAGTGTCCCTACAGCTCCCCCCTCTGGTCACAAGAGTGAACTGCACCTCCTGAGTCAAGCAGGTTTTAAAAGTCACTTTATAAATAACCAGGACTGAACCAGGACTAAACCAGACTGACTAAACCAAGACTAAACCAGGACTAAACCAAGACAGACTAAAAACTAAACCAGGACTAAACCAGGACTAAACCAAGACTAAACCAGGACTAAACCAGGACTAAACCAGAAAGAAACCAGGACTAAACAAGGACTAAACAAAGACTAAACCAGAACTAAACCAGGACTAACTGGGACTGGTCTAAACAAAGACTAAACCAGAACTAAACCAGGACTACACTGGGTCTAAACTGGGTCTAAACAAAGACTAAACCAGAACTAAACCAGGACTACACTGGGTCTAAACTGGGTCTAAACAAAGACTAAACCAGAATTAAATCATGTTTGAACCAGATCTAAACCAGGACTAAATTACTTAGACTGTTCATGTTTAATGCCAGCTTCTTTTGGAAATCAATGTATTTTATTATTATTATTATTATTACTATTATTATTATTATTATTATTATTATAAATACATAACTTAAAGCTGCATTGTGTAACTTTTCTGGTGGAGCTTTAAATAAGACGTTTGCTTTACATGTTTGAGAACAGTTTGTAAAGGTTTATAGTGAGTTCTCCTCCTGCGTGTGTGTGTGTTGTAGGGAGCAGTGTTGTAGGGAGCAGTGTTGTAGGGAGCAGTGTTGTAGGGAGCAGTGTTGTAGGGAGCAGTGTTGTAGGGAGCAGTGTTGTAGGGAGCAGTGTTGTAGGGAGCAGTGTGGTGAGTCTCACCAGGGGAACGTCTCGGAGTCTCTCAAAACTGGAAGTGGATCTGACCTGCCTCACACAGTGAAACAGCAGCACGGACAGAGACAGCGCCACCACCAGGCAGAACACGACCAGGACCGTCACCAGACCAGGACTGTGCCGGAGACTCGACTGCCAACTCTCTGCGGAAGAAACCCACACACGAGCACGACAACAAATCAAACACCATTTAAAGTGCAACGTGGAACTTTCACCACTGTCTTATCCAGGCCTTATACCAGGATTTGTTTTTTAATTTATTTATTTTTTTGCAAACTAGGTGCACTGCAGCGTCTGTTCCGGCTCTGTCTAAATGAACGACGATTCACCTGTAGGTCTGCTGTTCCTGTCCAGGCTGGAGCCACCGAGACCAGAGGTGCTCACACTTTTACATCATGTCCAAGTCAAAATGATCGACCTAATACAAAGTCAAACAAACTGCACTGAAACACTCTGTGGACCTTTTTTGGACCCTCCCCCACAGTTTGAGAACCTCTTCTTTAAGAGAACTTCCTCTGGCACTTTACACAAAACTGTGAAAAAAGTGAAGGAAGATTTTTAAACCTGTTTTTTAAAGTTCCAAACTGGAGTTTCATTCTTTTGTGGTTTTGCAGTGATATTTACCAGCCTCTGCACGTTTACCAAACCAAACACACATCGTGACAAACACAGATGCATTTGTCACTTTTGTTACACAAACTTCAGCCAAATGTGGCAGTAGGTCTGTTCTGTAGATCCGCTCTATGCTGTAGACCTGCTTTGTGCCAACACTGGAACACAAATTTAGACTGGTTTTTGCTTCACGTTTGGTCTTGCTCTTCTAATCAGCCGCACTGTGGGAGGGGCTTGTGTTGGCTGTACGCAGGAAGGAGCGAGAGCGTGAAAAGGCGAGGGGCGGCGTGCTGACGTGAGGCAGGTGGACAGGTAGGATGTTTAGGAAGTTGAACCTGCCCTGTGATGCACGCTGGTACACGAGGGCACACGCTGTCGCAGACGAGCCGTGCATAGGGAGCGTGTGTGTTTGTGATGCGCCGTAGAGTCTCCGCGGGTTTCAAATGAGCGCACAGGCTGCACTGAGACGCCCCACACGCTCCTGCACCCGCTACAAGTTTATTACCAACAGCAGCGGCCGGAATGAAATATGATCACACTTGTTGAGTGTCAGACCTCGAGTGAGAGACAAGACCGAGTCCAAACACGAGTCCGAGACGAGACACGGCGATCTACACACACGACCTTGGCCATCGACTGGTAGATCACGATCGACGTGTTGAGCACCACTGGTCTAGTGCCTCCGCTCAAGTTCATTTCTCTCCAGTGCCTATGGACCAAATGTGGCCCTCAGACAATTTTTTCTTGGTGAATTGGCCCAAATTACCTTGCATCAATGAAAAATGTTACTTTTTACTGCAAGTTTTTTGAAAATCTACCTTGATAAAGCAAATATTTAATATTTAGTGTGCGGAAAGACTGATGTCTCATTCTAAAGTGTTAAACATGCACATATTTCAATTATTTACTGTATTGAGCATCAGTCTACGACCCTCGATCAGCCTCTGCTTCATCTGTGTTTAGAGATGTGGCCCTTGATGAAAAAAGTTTGGACACCCCTGCACCAGACGGTTTGCAAGATCTCCTGAAGTTGTAGACGGCGCACAATCAGCTGTGAGCTGTGAAGCCGTGACGTCGTCGTCGTGGCGTCTGTCTGTGTCCCTTTTGTGGAACAGCGCAGCAGTAAACAAAGCGTCAGTGGACATTCTGTGTTGTCAACGATTCCCCAGATCCCCGAGGATTTAAAGCAGGAACAAAGAGAATGTTTGGTGAATTTGATCAAGAGGAAAGACGTTATTGTTCTTCTTCCTACAGGGTTTGGAGCTTTACAAACGTCACGACCAAACAGCAGCGACTGGTTCAATAAAAAAGGTCCCCGTCTACTGTCGAGTGAACGAATCCTAACGCCGCGAGGTCACACGGTTTCCGCAAAGTGAGTTTAGAGTTTAATCGTGAGAATCCACAGAGGCTGGCGTCGCAGGAGCAGATCTGTTGCCTCTGGTGTAAATTGGGGCTTTTAAAAGTGAGTGCAGGTGCAGCTTTGCCGACGTTGATGCTCCTGGTGTAAATTCCGAGTGTGTTTGTGTTTGTGCCTCGCAGTGTCGCGGGCTCCAGACGTACAGAAGTACATCAGGAACAGTGTCGAGAGTCGTACCTGAGCCGGTGGAGTTGGTGGAGCTGGTGGTGCTGGGGCTGGTCTGGATCACGTCCTGGGTGGAGTTAGAAACAGACGGAGTGACGGACGGAGCTGTGCCGTTATCAGAGCTCTGGGTGGAGGTCTGAGGTGGAGCGGCAGTGGTCCCATTGTCGGCGCTCCGGGCGGAGGTGAGGGTGGAGGTGTGGGGTGACAGGGTCGAGGTCGCAGATGGAGCCGTCCCGTTCTCAGGGCTCGTGGAGGTGGAGTTTGTAGTTGGGCTCTGGGTGGTTGTTTGGTGTGACGGGATGGGGGTGGGGGTGGGAGTGGTTGGTTCTCGTGTGGTGGAGGTGGGAGTGGTTGGTTCTCGTGTGGTGGAGGTGGGAGTGGTTGGTTCTCGTGTGGTGGAGGTGGGAGTGGTTGGTTCTCGTGTGGTCTGGGGCTGCACATTAGACGCATTTGTAGTTCTGTTTTGGGTAAAAGCGGTTGGAGAAACGAGCGGAGTGGTGGTGGTGGTGGGAGATGGAGGCGGGATGAGGTCGTCTCTGAAAAACAAAAACAAAAAAACATTATCGGGGGTTATGTACTTGGTGTTCAATGTTAACTGTAAAGGCCGCCACTACTTTTTTTTGGTCATATATATTTAATTTTATTTAATTTTATTTTTTTCCTATATTGTGGTCTTACGGCCAAACAATAAAGCCACAAGATGTAGAAATATACAAATGCCACATTTAAACCCCCTCCTCCCCATTCCCAAACCCCGATTCGCCCTCCCCACACCCACCCTTAACAGACACTGAAAAAAAAAAAAAAATAAAAATAAATAAATAATAAATAATAATAATAATAATAAAATTCAGAAGAAAAAACAATAATAAACATTTAAAAAATAAATTAATAAAAATAATAATAAAATACAAATACAACAGCAATAGTAATATTGACCAGAAAATAATAATAAAAATAAAGTAACAATAATTACATTAATAATGATGCAAACGAAATATATACAAATTACATACAAGTGCATATATACACATAAACGCACACACACATAACAAATATATTAAAAAAATAATAATAATAATTGCATGGCTGCCACTATTTTAATAATTTTTAAAAGTGCGTCAGAAATCACACACCACAGACACGAGGAGAATCTGGAGAGATTTTAAATCTGTGATCTCAGAGACTGAAGCAGGATCTGTCTGCAGACCACAGGACGGAAACTTGTGAGTTTGACTCTGAAGGGAGCTTCACCCCAGAGCCACAAAGCGGCAAAGTTCATATGTAAAGTCGATGTGGACGTGCGTCTGGGCGTCCGGCGTTTTTGTGGCGCGTCTTCGGGCGTCAGCGCGAATCTGATCTACAGTGTCGACGCCAAAACGCTGAAGATATGAATCCAAGGTGTCAACGCCTTAGGACTAGACCAGGACTAAAACCAGGTAAACCAACCAGGACTAACCAGGACTAGACCAGGACTAGACCAGGACCAAACCAAGACCAGGACTAAACAGACTAAACCAGGGACTAAACCAGGACTAAACCAGGTCAAACCAGGACTAGACAGGACTAAACCAGGACTAAACCACCAGGACTAGACCAGGACTAGACCAGGACTAGACCAGGACTAAACCAGGTCCAAACCAGGACTAGACCAGGACTAACCAGCCAAACCAGGGACTAGACCAGGACTAAACCAGGAACCAGGACACTAGACCAGGGGTCCACCAGACCAGGACTAGACCAGACTAAACCAGGTCCAAACCAGGACTAGACCAACTAAACCAGGTCCAACCAGGAAACCAGGACTAGACCAGGACTAAACCAGGTCCAAACCAGGACTAGACCAGGACTAGACCAGGACTAGACCAGGACTAAACCAGGTCCAAACCAGGACTAGACCAGGACTAAACCAGGACTAAACCAGGTCCAAACCAGGACTAGACCAGGAC